GTCTGCTCTAGAGTCATATGGAATTGGAAATCCGCTGCTTAACTGGTTCGACTCATACCTAAACGGTCGAACTCAGGTCGTTAAAACCGGTCAGCAACATTCTACACCGAAGCCAATAACCAGCGGTGTCTTCCAGGGAAGTGTGCTCGGACCGCTACTTTTCTTAGTCTATGTAAACAATATATGTGACCCGATCAAACATGGACATCCATTTCTGTTTGCAGATGATGTCAAACTGGTTTACTCATTTCATCCAGACCAACTACATATGTGTTTGGGAAACATCTGTGAAGACCTATCCGCACTAAATATAGCTAGTGAGCGCTTATTAATGAAGTTCTCCGCAATGAAATCCCAAGTACTTGGGTACAGATGCCGCATCCCAGAAGGCTCCATTATACTTGCCGGAAACGTGATCCCAACGTCTGATTCAGTTCGGGACTTAGGAAATTGGTACTCCAACTCTCTCAATTTCTCCGAACATGTTCTTTATCAGGTTGCGAAAGCAAGGCAGCTATGCGGATATATCACCAGAACTTTCTCTCTACCTGAAGTACGACTTGAATCATTCAAGACAATAGTACGACCGACTCTGGAATATTGTACTATCGTTCACAGCCAATTGAGAAAGAAAGACAGAACGGCTCCAAAATATGTCCAACGATCATTTACCAAACTGCTCATGGGAAGCTGCTCAAACCTGACGTATTATGATCGCTGTCGAAAACTCCAGCTGGATCCACTTTGGCTGAGACGCTTAAAGAACAACCTCGTTCTCTTCTACAACATTACAAACCAACGAATTTACGCAGACAGCACCGCACTTGAACTGCGGAAGACTGCCGTCTACCCCACACGTAATGGCGGCTACTTGATACGTACAAACCTTTCAAGTCATAAAATTCGAACGAATTTCTTCTTAGTGAGATACACTTATTTGTGGAACAAACTACCCTTACAGATACGCATGTGTACAAGCCATGTCACTTTTCGAAATCTCCTTCAGACCTTCCTCACTATACCAAATGCTCTGAAGATATTTGACTCACAGCAAACACTAGAAACATTGACAGAAGTTGGCATAAAAAACATTTGACAATAGCTTACAGCTAGCTTACCCACTACATGTCATTACATACCATACCAAATCTTGTGTCTTTGCAGCCTAATAGTCCCTTCGTTTATTATCTACTCCTGACGATACAAACATCCGAAAATTTTACATATGAGTTGCGCGGAACTAGGACTCAAGGAAAAGTAAGCATGATCCGAAATGCCATCAGTAAACTTTTATTTAATGTTATGAAACGTGTTCACTATACACATGATCGCTCCCACTTATGGGGTCGTGTACCGTCCGTCGGTAAATATACAAATTTATTTATTTGTTTATTTATTTCTGAAAACTTAGCTGTGTGAAGCGGGGTGCTCTGCAGTGTCAGCAGCCGAAACAAAGCAATGCAATTATTTGCACCTAGGCAGCACACATCAAGCGTCATTGTCTCCTATTTCCCCCAGATGGAGCGGTCTCGTTGCAGAGGAACACGCTCATGGTTGTCTGTAATTTAGCGTTCTAGTGAGCCAACGTATTATATCACTTTATATCTGCTTGTTGGTGTAACAGGATTTTCTTTGTGTTATAGCGGAGGTAAGAATACTCCACCGCTCCCCGTTGTTTTGTGAGTTTTGCCCCACTCACCCCTACTCACCCTGCCCTCTCTTCCGGTTCCTCGCATACGTTCACTTTTGCCTCACATTTGTGATTAGCTTGTATGGACACTGAAACTTACGGTTATTCGCTTTTACTTTGTGAATTTCATTCGTTCGTGAGGCAACTTATCGATCCCCCGCTTTTTGAACTGTACAGCATTGACTGATCGAATGTAAGCCTTTCCGCATAGCCTGTGATATGCCCTAATTTGAATATTGTGATTGAGTTGCACAGACAGATGCTTGGTGGCCGGTTTGGCTTGCTATGTGAACATTGTTTGTTGCTCGGTCGTTGGTGTTCTCACTACCGTTAGTGGGTGGAAGCAGTCGTGGGGCTCCGACACAACAATTTTCAAGGCATGTTCAATAACAATAACATTAAAATTATTCACTCAAAACATTCTAAAACGTAAACGTTCAACAAACACCCTCAGCGGGCCGGGTTACAATTAACGAACGCCGACCGGTCCACGGCGATAGCTAGGTTGGAAGTCACTGCCGTAGAGTGCACCGGCTCGCTATACCTCCATATTTCACGAGACCGTCTGCTTGTAGTGTAATCCCTTCGCAACAAGTTAGTACACGTCTGCCTACTTGCGGAACATGAAGGAAAGTAATATAAGTCACGGTTTAACATATCCTTTGAAAGGGAATTGCAAGGCTGCAATCAAACATATAACACATAGCTCCTTCATCGCTCCATTGATGAGTATATCATTCTGTGTACCTCTATCAGATTGGACTTGTGTGGTTGGTATGGGGGCGAATTGTTTGGAATATGACTACCTTCTACCCCACGTTCAACTTAGACCTGTGGATCCGTCACAAATTGCTATTTCATCGCATAAATAAAGAAGTTACGTGTAGTGATTACTGTCCATTCTGCTGCAACGGAGATCGTTCCGCTCCTTATGTTACGGACAACTTGACTTCGAGGTCAAACGGTAGCTTCTACTGCGTCTTCAACTATCCGACCGAACTAGCCTGAATACCCACCAAAATGAGACAACCTATCTGCGCCTCTTGTGTAGAGTATCGTTTTAGTGCCAGGCCAACGTTGTTCACTGTTGTCCTGCGTGCATCATTTCCGCCCTAGCCTCTGACATCTCCTTTGCTCACTTACAAAAAGGGGCTTGACACCACTTCAGGCTTATACCCGGCGTTCTGAGTGCATGCGTTTCCCTTCCCTCAGGGACTGTGCCCGCTCCGATGGATGTCTCAGGCACCACCATTGTCCAGTGAGGGCGCGCGGCGCACTGTGCACGGGCTGAGCTCCGTTTAGTAAAGTCTCAAATGTCGTCCATTTGAGTTTGACCACGCTAGTCTCACGCAAGTCTCACCGTTTTCCTACCCAGCTCCGAAAGCGTGAGTATTCTGCGTGTGACTGTTTTCAGTCGCTATGCTATACCGAATTCTACTGGCTGGTAGCCTCTGCCCACGCAGTGGTACGTGGATGCTACGTGGATGATAGCTCCTGAACTAAGGATGTTAGTGTTTACGTTAAGGATGTAAACGATTGCGTTAAGGACGTTAGCAAGTGAGAAATGGTATAGAGTGCTCAGCTAGCTCACATATGTATTCAACAGTTTGTTGTAGTGGGACGTTGGTGAATAGAGATTCCACATCCAAGAAACACATGATCTTATGGGAGAGATTGATGTCATCTAAGTCACCGATAAGTTGAAAAGAATCTTTAAGACTATATGGATTGGACAGTTGTAGAGGCGAAAGTATCTTCACTAGCCAGCGAGCCAATTTATGCTACGGCGCATTTACCATTGATAGAATCGGCCGAAGTGGTACTCCACTCTTGTGCGTCTTCGGTGACCCGTATAGCTGCGGAGTAGTGCTTCCACTTGGCTTCAAACAATTATAGGTGTCACTATCAATCACGCGATGAAGGAGAAGCATTTCAAGATGGGCAGCTATGCTAGCTTCAACATCGGATACGTTCTCCATCTTATTAAGTCGTTCAAATTTACTCGTGTCGTTGAGTATGCTACTCATTTGCTGAGCGTACTCGGCCTTGTTCATGATCACAACTCCAGAGCCCTTATCCGGTTTCATCACAACTAAGTTCTTAGTACGCAGTTCACGCAGCGCCTGAAGGTGTCGGCCTGTAAGTGCGCATTTTTCAGTCACTGGCACAATCTTAAATTCGTGGGCAATGTCGGTCAATAAGTTAATAAACCAAGCAACACTCCCAGGACTGGGTGGTTGAAGCTCCTTGAATTGATCAAAAAAGTTCTCAAACTGAGCTTCTATAAACAACCCGTTTAGTCTTCTAGTAGGAATTTTGTAATCAAGCCCATATGACAAAGCTTCTAACTGCAGTGTCTAGTTGTACGTCTGATAAATTCACCACGTACTTACCGGGATCCCGAACGATTGGCTCCTCGTCCTGGCTGTTCGTAAGCGAGTTCTCCAACCGAGTATTCCGATTTCGCCTCGTACGGTCGAGAGTGGGTTTGCAAAAGTTAGCGAACACAACACGACAACACAAAGATAGATCCTCTACCACATGGAGTAGGCGTGCGTGAGTTTCCCGTAAACTCAGAAGTTTGCACTCGGTCGTCTCCAAGTGAGCAGATGCCACACATCTGAGGTTAGCCACAGATGGTTTGAGTTTATTTCTACGCAGCAGTGTGAGAACCGAGCGGGGGTATCTACGCGCCACCGGATAGAGCTTGGATCAGCGTTCACACTTGGATTACGTCATCCTAAGCCCCGCTTCCTCCGTTTCGCCGACGCCGTTGCGATAAGCCGGCCCTGTGTGTTCAAAAGCAATTATTTATCAGCTTAAGACTGCCGTGGACATAGGGGTGAAACTTCCGTCATTCATTTTGCACCCCATGTTTATTCGGTCACACGCATATTTAAGTATATAGTTGCATACCGGTTATTGTTAATAGTACTGAGTTTGACTGGGTTGTGGATCTGCAACAGTGGAGTTCTCCGAGCTGGGTTTGCTTTCTAACAGCTACTGCTACGTAACTGCTATCAATCCCGCACTGAAGATGCCACCTCAAATGGTGGCGAAACGTTTGCAATGAAGTTGTCCAGTTCGGAGAACTCCACATGAGCAAGCCTCCCGAGCTACCAATATTTCAAACCATTTCGAACAGTAGTATCGGGTTACCCGTATCTCCAGCAGAAACATAACACCGAAGAATATAAGCGTATGTATGGATGCGACAAAGTACAATGTAAACGCATAAACTGGGTACAAAAGAAACAGTGGCAAGTGAAATGCATTCGTGCGAAAGTAGAATAAAGTAAGATGATTAAAATCAAGAAGGTTTTCCGGGATGTAGTATATAGCGCCCCTGCTTCAACTGTTGCACAGTGATACGACAAATTCCGTGATCGGAGCTTCTGCGAATCGCCACATCCTGTGCGCCGACTGCAGCGATGGTGCCTGTGCAACGCTGATTTGCGCCATCGCGACCTTCGAGGATCACAGTGGCGCCGTACTGGAAACTAATAAAAAGTGGAAAAGTGGTTGTATAACTGATGATAATTCATGTCCACAAACGGCAGTTTAAATAGTGTGCTAGGTGAACATGATCCGATTCCTGAACAAGAAAAAGCTCAAATTGAAGTAGAGGGAATGAAAAATGTCTTCTTTTTGCGATATTTGTAAACATACTGGAAATGATCGGTGACCACTGGCAGACGGTCTTAAATTTGTTCAGCAATTAAAGAGAAGCAATAGTGTGGAACTGGAATTTGCCTCAGTCGGGGAATCAAAGTTAGAAGTGAACAAAGTAGCAATTGCAAAAATACACGATAATTGGTTAACATCAGATACAACTGCACTTCACGACGCGTTTCGACCGTATATTGCTCTCACCAGGCAAAAATGGCAGACATCGAACCCGGGATCATAGAGTTGTTAGCCGAAACCTATACCTCTCTAGCCACCGAGTCGCAACGGAAAACGGGATATTCTGCACAAAGTGTGCACTTGTGTCCATACGAAATGCAAAACATGAAATCCATCGTCGTCATTACTATGCATAAGCACCAGTTTCAAAGAAAGTAAATATGGTGCAGCAGAACGGTTAAGTTAAAACGACTCAGCCCTAGTAGTCGTGCTAAAGTGCAGCCTTTCAACGGAGCCACACGTTCGTACACGAAACAAGAACATGTTGCCAACGCTGACCGCTTTCTTGTTTATTTACCAGTTCGAGTGCGCCTTTGACGGTGCGACAACTGTCCAGATGCACGAGTGAGCACTGCCCATGCTGATTAGGTCTCCGGTTGGGCCCATATCGTCGGGAATGGGCATTAAGTGGATGCAAACCGACACAGACTGAAACGTCTGTGCTTTGTGCACATGTGCAATAGCTGAAACAATGTGTGTTCGGCTGTTACAACCGCGAAAGTTTTACAAGTTTTTTGGCCAGTGAAAACAAGGGACGTTGAGGTCAGCTGCATTGGCTCAACAACCGCAACGCAGTGATCGACGTGCCAGGGCGTAGGTCGTTTGTCAGTTCCTAACATTGATCCGCACGTGACGTCTGTAGGCCTGATTGATTAGACCAAAGTTTCTCCTCTATGTCTGTTAATCGATCTATAAAAATAACCGTTCGCCTATGATTTCGTTTACCAGAAACCTAAATAAGAATTTTAACTAACATAAAATAACCGTATTAAGCCAGAATGGACGCGAGAAGATTAGAGGTTACTGCACATAGCATTATAGCTCCCACATTCAAGGTCAATGCGCTCACTTCTTTTTGGTTCTTCGGTATGCGCAGTACGCCGGCATGCGGCACGGAAGATTAGCTACCACGCGACCACCATCAGTCGCGTGTAGGTTGAAGATACTGCGAGGTCACACAGATGCACCTCAACAGAATCGAACCAATGACATTTGGACTGCAAGGCAGACACGCGCTAGTTTTTCTGCAACCGGGAAACTAAGGCGCACACACTTTGTAAACAACACACACTCACAAACAACTAGCTAGTATACGACAATAAGGGGGAATATGTGAGATGGCTTCCTTGCGGCTCGCATTGCTCCGCGTCACAATATACCACCTTACCCATGATTCATACAAACTTTGAACAGGCTGTCTAACTAATAAAACTGCAACATGGTGTAGATCTCAGACTTTAAAGTGACATCGACCGATGGCACACAATTTGATGGTCAGCCACTGTGCTATAGTTGAACCTAGATTCGGAAAGCCTTCAGCAGCTCGCTAGCACACCGTACCGACGCTTCCGTGCCACCCGATTACCACCGGTTGTGCGTTGGATGGAAATGCCGCAAGGTTGCTCGTATGTACCCGGGTTCAAATCGGTGACCTGCGGATTACAAGGCAAGCGTATAATCCTGTCGGCCACCGGCCGACGTAGATTCGGTAGAGAAATCAACAACATTCTCATCAGTCCTTGGACTGGAAAATGTTGCAACCGTCAGAATCAATGCAACCTAATTCGTCGTATTTGTTAGTAAAAGGAATTGACCTGATCATTGCTGTTTAGCGAGAGCTTACGCACCTCACCAGTGAGGACGCGCTGGTGTCGCCTGACGCGACCAATGCGTCGCACGCAACGATAAGCAATCAACTGAAGGTGATCAGGGCCGTCAGACAGGGAGGTGAACAGCCTTCACATGTAGACTCTGCACATGGCATTTAAGACGAGGGGAAATCCCCGTCTACAGCAGGACAGGTCGCGGGATGAGAAACCACGAGTGTTCCACTGCGCGCAGAGATACAGAAGAAAGCGATAATATCAAATATTTGAACTTTGTGCATATGCATTTCACGAGTGTGATAATAAGCGTAACAGGCTTTCGCTAGGTCGATACTACAGCCCAATAATAGTTAAGCAACAAGGTCCAATAGGAAAACCCAAAGTAAGCGGAAGCACCAAAGTGCACGTACGATGTGCGCACTTACAGAGAAACTATAAAAAAACGAAAGGAATGTGCTTAACGATCAATGGGAAAAACGTACCACTTTTGACCACAATACAGTCGACCGTCATCTATCCAAACCGATGGACCGATAGGAGCGGGTGCCGGAGAACTCGGTCCGTTCGACTGGTTGACACTGCGACCGAGAGGAATACAATCGCCGGAATAGTGGATAGGTGATCCCAGACTATCGGATCCCGGTTGGTTTGAATTAGGCGTTCCGGGGTCCAATTGACCTCGACTGGAGGTTGCAGATCCGGTACTACTTCCGGCGTGAGAACTTTGGCCGAGAGAATGAGATGGCAACCCTGGAGTCGCCGACGATCCCGGTGTGGTTGCAGAACCGTGTTGAGAATGCTTACGGCCTCCACCAGAAGGCTGGGAGCCAGATGCGGACGCAGCCTTCGCACATGCTCTAAGAACAGAATAAGTGAGCAAATGAGATGTAAAACTGGGTAATTTTCTTCGTTTTCGCATTGCGCTCCGGTAGTCAAGAGCATCATTGTCTTAGAACATCAATGTCACTAACAGTTTTGGGCAAAGTTACTCTTTGGAAACCAAACAGTTAGAGGCGATGAAGAATCTCAGAAAAGTTCATGGAGGTTGCGACGGTAAGACCCATTTTACCCATTGGTATGCATATCCTGCAGATTATAAGACTTCCAAAATTGCACAAGGTGAACATTCTACTGAGGCCGATTTTATGGAGGAGCAATTCTCCAAAACTAGGTAAATGACCAATAGAACAAATGGAATTCCTACGCGAGCAATGGTTGCACACAATTCGAAGGCTGCGTTCGAATTAGTCATGTTTTTAGACGGCATCGCGCTGCACGAAAAGTGGCAATGTTTGAACTTCAGTAGTAATATCCGTAAGCGATGCAGACAAGGTTTAGTTCAGGCTTATTTCAATACAGTCAGAAACATCTGCACTGCCGTTGCACAGGAAGTAGGGCCAACAATAATAGTGTTCCTGGAGATCCGGACGGTATTTGATTCAGTAAACAGATCTGTCAACTAAGGAAAGATGTGTGTGACAAGTTTGTAGCCAATCTGAGGTGAGTGCACAGACAAATTTGGTGAAGGATAGGGCATAGGACAGTCTCTCCTCTTCATTTGCTGTTTTCTGCGGCGTTCACCAAGGTTGCCTTATTTTATCCTCAATTTTGCCGTCAGTGATATCGTTCAAAGAGTAATAAAGAGTGTCCCAGACTGCGGCGTTAAGCCTCCCCTGGAGACAGAGTCGAGAAGTTTGAATAAGCCGATGATATCGCTTGTCTTGGGAATGAGCCGCACGCCGTCCAAAACACCTTCAACCGCGTAGTGATAGAGGCATTCAAGTACGGTCTGTATTTCACCCCGGTCCAATGTAAAACACTACTCCAGGATTGGTACGTACAAGTGTCCGCGCTCACCATTACTGGTGACATTCTAGAACATGCTGGTTGCTTCACTTCTCTAAGTTGAATCACAGCTGGGAGTTGCGTTGGAGAGATCTCACAACAGGTTGCAAAAGCCTGCCTTACTTTCACCAGACTGAGACACATATGGAGTGGTTGTGATGTCAATCTGAATCGAGACGGCCGTCTTTACGATCGTGTGACGGTCCGTTCGCTCTGAAGATATGAAACGGTAGCCAGTTTTGATAACCGTTACCTGCGGATTGATCGCGTATGGTGGTAACATCACGTACACAGAAGAAGCGCTTAAAACGAACAGCCCGAATCCAAAATGTTGTCTCAGACCCCGCATGTGTTGGATCGGCCACGAAATTGTGCATGCCAGTCTATCGTCTTCCATTATCGAGCGTTGTTTGCGCTTCCCAAAGTAAGAGAAAAAATTGCCGCAGTGACAATCAATGATGCAGAAAAGTAGCGCGAAGAAGGCAACCTCAAGCTTAGCATCAGTCAGACCGGTCCGTCTTCCAGGCTGTGAACTACGCGACACTGACTCCCAGTGATTGCAATGGTTGGATTTTGGCCCGAAAACAGACATCAGTGAATCCCAAAGAGGAATCGGGCGGAAAACTTTCGACAAACAATTGTTTTCGATTAGTTCATCATCAGGACGTTACACTAATAGACGCTAAGTTGGAATAGCCCAGTATTGCCTAACGGACACATTTCAGTTTATTTGAAGGATGTTTGTCGAAGCAGTCCGGAAAATGAATATCCGGGACTATCAGATGTTCGCCATTGATGGTGTCTCGCTATTTACCAACGTGCCTCTGTTAGAAACGGGCAATTTTCTGTGCAATTACATTGACCAGCAAGGAATGAATGTCCAGTTTCAATTTAACAATCGGCTGTACAGACAGATCGATGGTATTGCAATGGGATCCCCACTAGGACCATTAACTGGGAACACTCGAGTGTGGCCCACTAAAAACGGTCATTTCAGACTTGAAATTCTACCAGCGTTATGTGGACGACATATTCTTTAGGTGTGACCAAAGGACCAACTTGCAGCATGTCGCCGAATGTTTCAAAAAAGCGCATCCAAATGCAGCATTCACAATTGAAGAAGAAAGTAACAATCAGATGAATTCCCTTGATGCAAAACTAAATCGAAGAGATGATGGATCAATCCAAACAAGTGTGTACAGAATACCATACTGGACCGGTGAATACAAGAAGTTCCACAGCTTTATCCCACTCAGCCGCAAAAGAACGCTAGTACACACCCTAACGAACCGCGCATATAAGATCTGTAGCGAGGACACTATTGAGGACGAACTGCAGCGGATCAAACAAGTGCTTCTCGAGAATGGATATCCTGAACGCTTCATTGACACTCTTATGAAGCATAATAGTACCAAAGCAAAGACGCAAATGGTCAAAAAGAAACAACTGTTTTTGACTCTTTCTTTCAAGGGAGACAACGCAGCAGAGATCTGTAAACGCAGGCTGATACAAAGCTGCAGAAAGACTTATAACGCAACCCATCTAAGTGTGATTTATACGAGCACACCTTTATTTATCCCGAGATTCAAAGATCAAGTATATGATCGTCTCCAGTCAAAGTTAATTTATCAGTTTACCTGTCCCTGTAGGTTTAGGTACATTGGACGAACGACCACATTTAGGTAAGAGAATCAGAAAACATCCCGAATTGGTCCACCAACCAGCTGCAGTTCAATAACAAACCACCTGGTGGACACCGGACACTAGGTTGACAAACAAACCGCTTTTGACATTGTGTACAAAGTACCACCACACCCGAACCACCGAATAAGGAATTGTCTGCTTGCCACCGCGGAGGCGGTATGCATAAGACTGGTGAATCCAAACTTATGCACCCAAAAGAAGATGGTTCAATCGCTATAGTTGCCTTGGCCAGCCACTTACGAAAGGCGGAGTACATTCCAGCACTCATATGACATCCGTGACCTAGTCACCTGACCAATGTCAGTAAACCACTGAATCGTTTAATCAATTGTTCTGCTGTTAAGTAATGTAACCTATTCGAACGTAGGGTCTATTAGTGTAACGACCTGATGAGGAACTAATCGAAAACAATTGTTTGTCGAAACTTTTCCGCTCATTTTCCTCTTTGGAATTCACAGAAACGGGCATCTTACATGAACTGAGACATCAGTCAGGAAAGTACTGTTCTACCGTATGGTTTAACAGTCAATGTTCAAACGAAAAATACAGATTCTTTTGCCCTATATATATATATATATATATATATATATATATATATAGTCAGCATGATTCACGCAGGTATGACACTCAGCTCAAATGTTGGGACTTCTCTCTGGCCTAATTGGTATCATTTATTCAAACAAACGCGCTGGAGTCCACGTTACTTCTACAAAAAACGTTTTTACGGTTGAGAGAAATTTGAAAGCAATCTTGTCTCAGAACAATAGATATGATTCGAGGAAGTATTAGGGAGTCAGCATTAGAACACGTAAGCTAAAACAGGTGATTTAAGGGAACCGTGACGGAGAGTAAACTTCCTTGAAATGATCCAATGATGGATTCTAGTAAAAAATCTACGGCAGCATTTCTAAATTTCCTGCCAATATCGCCTTGTTTTGGGAAGACCACATTCCTTTTCATGATCCCGAAAGATCGTGAGCATGGACGTTGTAAGGTTGTTGACGCGTATATGCCAGTTAGATCTGTTTTTCTACTCTGGTCCAGGTCTTACCTTACTTGTGATTTCAAGGTTCGGAGTGGAGAGCGGTGGATGTCATGCACATGGGGAGGCATCGACAACGTTTACTGCTCGCGGTGCACCCAGCTTCGCTGAGCTGCATGAAGTATTGCCCGCTCTTATTGCTACATATAATCGGAAGGTTGCACGAAGTGGTTCAGGATTACTGCTCCATTGAGAAATGTATGTTGGTATCATAAAAATCGAAGGGGTGTGTCGGTGACGGCACTCCTTAAAGAAGAGAACTGAAAGCATCTACAAGTTGGAGGTCAGAAAAAGAGCCATGAGCAGTACGCCGGCACACTGTACCGACGCTCCGCTGCAGCGCGACTACTACCGGCCGCGTGTGGACTGAGTATACCGCAAGGACGTCCGCCTCTACGGGGATTCGAACCATTGACCTAAGGATTACAAGCCAGGCGGGCAATTCTTTCGGTCACCGGCCGACGTTGGAGGTCAGAAGCAAGGAGTGTTCTCCAAACACCTGTTATGTATGGGTGAAATTAGAAAACATTAAGAGCTGTAAAGCACCACTTAGATCCTCCTGTGTTAAAATCGCTAAACATACATCTGGGCTTTAGAACCAGGATGGAGAAAGCGGGTATGTCTCGATTTTCTCGGTAAATGCATAGAAAACAATACGTATCCGACGAACTACGGGAAATCTCTTCGCCGCTCACGCATCAGACCGGACAGCAATTGTCTGAAGCGACTAGCATTGAACCACATAGATGTCACTCGTATCAAAAGGGATGAGTTCAAACTTGCCCTGGACAGTCTGGCAACAAGAGACCGGTCGGAGCTAAGTAAGAGTATGAAAGAGATAATCGCAAAACTAGAATCCGGGTTACGTCATCAGCTCAAAAACACAGTGAAAGGAGAGAAGCCCTCAACATCTTTTCAGATCGAACTAGAAAGGTATGTGCTAAAGTTGTGTCTGACGCTCAATCGTGTTACAATGGAGGTGTTAACATTAAGCCCTAAATTCGGTTTTTCTCCTAGGAAGGATAATAGGCTGGCAATAGAAGCCCAGGTCGGAAACGTGTGCATGCAGACCTCACAACTGATTCCTTGTTCGGAAATGAATGCGGAAGAGTTTAAATAGTTTCTAGTACATGTCTGATACCAGTACTGATGTGCGAGGAAAGTACACGAAGCTCCAGTGAAACAAGAACATCTTGAAGCTCTAAACCGTGTGGTCATCAATAATGAGATTTTGCTTATGTGGTCAGATAAGGACGCGGGTATTGT